CGCAGATCTAAACTCGCTAATTTTGTGTTCAATGCTGCACCCCACAAGGGGGCGCCCCGCAATGTCCCACAGCGCATCCCCGCCGTGTATTGRGAACATCTCCTGATGATAATACCAGACCCGATGATGATGAGATGTCATCATCGAGAGATGTTCCCAATACAAGGTGGGGATGCACTGTGGGACGTTGTGGGGCGCAGATCTAAACTCGCTAATTTTGTGTTCAATGGGTGGTTATACCTGTAAAAGAGAGAGAACTAAATGCCCTTTTAGGCTCCGTTTGTTTACAGTGAAATTTCATTTGTTAAAATGCATGYGAGTACAAATCAGATTCAGAAGAGTGTAAATTCTGGGTCACTTTTGTTTTGGATTTATTTTGTTTCATCTGTACTGCAAACAAGCAAAACAAATGAAATAAGTCATCCAGCCAATATTAATTTCATTTGTATTGTGAGCTCCTTAATGGGTAATGGTTGAATATCTYATGTTGGTTTGATTTCTAGCTAGAACTCGTAAACAAATGAAACGAGTCATCCGGCCAGTTAGACAGTACAACAGTTATCAAATAGCAGCCCTTAATTGTTGTAATTATCCCTGCACTGATTGTTGATCTTGAAGTTGGTGTGTCTTCAATGTTTATATCAGCTTAATCTTTGGAAGCATCATCAATGGAGTTTTCCATTTCCTGATTTTTGTTTGATATAGAGAAAAACTCCGCGTTAGATCCCACTAACATAGTAGTGAGCTTAGAAAGAATAACCACAGAGCTAACAATCTCTGGAACAACATGAAATCCTCTTGAATCAATAAAGAGAGAATTGAGAAAATCTTAAAATGGAAAATTTTAAAACTCCCTTCAATACTAAAGTTTTGTTAAATGTTAAAAATTCTTTACAATGCTTCCATAGCACCCATTTCTAATAAATGAAATCATAATTCAAGACCCCCAAAAAAATCTAATTAAGATAAAATTTTTAAAACTCAAATATAATCTCCAAATTGACACCTTAATTGCTAGTAAAATTATCACAACTTTTTTAAATCACTTAAGATTTGCTTGCTCTAGGACTTATTGGATTAGTGATTGAAAATTCTCTTTGATGACATCATAAAGATGGAAGTTTAGTATTTTACTACTCAAACCAAAACAGAGGAGCAGTAAGGTAACCATGAAGTATGAACTGAAAATGAAAACCTGAATTTCTGTTATTGGGCATTCACTCACCTTACCATATTGATCAAGCGTCAAAAAGTGGCATGACCCCCAATCTCTATTGCAAGATACAGTCGTTGCATGATCAGAAATGGGGTTCATAAGGAAGATGTAGAGCTAAAGCAATGTAAGGCTATGACAAGTGCGGAAGCAAGAGATTTCAGAGGAAACCTCTGTGGAGTTAAAGCAAAGTCTCTACATGGCAGGCTATTTACTTGGCAAGGCATGGCTTGAAATCTTCTAAATAGTTCACTGCTTACTAAGAAAAATTACTATGTCTTGGAAAACCCAGGTACCCAACTCACCATTGAAGGCATTTGGAATATAACAGAGAGAAAGCATCTCAATAAGTTCTCTGTTTTTAGTCTCCTTTTCAAAGAATCATAGAAAGGTCCAAAGTGGCCGATCGTGTAAAGTAGCCTGGGTTTGAACTGTAAACCCAGGTACCCAACTCACCATTGTTGGGGGTCTATTGGTTTGTACTAGTGGCTCACTGGCTCTGTGTGACTGTGTCTGTGGCTGAGATATGCAAGAGGCTAAACAGCTATTTTACTTGCCTCCTTTTCGAAGTTCCTTTGTGTGGATAAGGCTTATAAAGAAGGGAAAGTACTATTTACGACAAGGTAAATTCTCTCGTTTGTATTTTTCTGGTAAGCATTTCTTTCTTTATTTGTTTATGGCTCGTCATATAAGACTCCAGAGGTCACCCACTGAACTGTCTAGAGACCCTCTCTCTCTCTCTCTTCACAAACACAGCAGCTGTATCGCCTCTTGCAGCAACAGCTTTTCAAAATCTGGGACGGGAGCTCCTCTCTCGAACGCTTTACATCTCAAGACGCCGTAGGAAACTTGAGTAAAGATACGCTTTTCCTCTTGTTCTACTCCAATATATTATATAGAAATCTTCCCGGACTCCTCCATCTTTTCCCCTTTCTTGTTTATCTCTGTGGAAAGCTTTCTGGGTCTCATAAATGGAGGATCAAATGGTCTCATCTTTAGACGGTAGGAATGGTAGTATCAGTAGAAGTAACAGCYYTGTCGTGAACCTTTATCCCCTCAGTTGTTACTACTTTGGATCCAAAGAAGCTGTTACCATCAGGGATGAAACCTTGGCCGATCGTGTACAGCGCATGAGGACCAAGTAAGTTACCCTATATTAAATTATTAATCCTTCCGTCTATTTTTAGCCGAGAGAATGGTTTCAAGATTATCCAGGCTTCTGAATCAATTCTTTCCCCCCTTCATATTCAAGCTATGCTGCAAACGGGTTAAGGACTTGTGTGGAAGCAGTCATGTTGGTCAGTTCTCTGTTTCTTTTTCTTTCATTCCTTACAATTTTCCTTTTAGCTTCAAGATCGAAACTTTAAGCTGTTAGTTTATCTGATAAAATATTAAACATATGGTGTCTGCATTTTGGTGAAAGAAGCTTTACAGAATTTGGAGGCTAAGACTGATCTCCTTGCAATTTCGCATATAGTTTTGATKTCTCTTTTTTATATCAAAATGTTTGTTACCCATATCTAAGTATGTGATTTCTACTGTATTGTCTGCACATAGTTGTTGCAGAAGGAATTGGGAGTTCAATTGTGGTGTTGATCGGATGGCTTCGTATTGGCATAAGAAAAACAAATGTCTTTGGATTGAATATTAAGAGAAGTTACAGAAAGATCTAATACCTCTGAAAACAACTTACTTGATATTGTCTGGGTCCATATTTAGCAGACAAGTCACTAAGTGTCAATAATCGCATCATTTATATTACTCCTGCTATTTTTGGTAATACAATGGAAAGGAACTACACAAGTCTGGTAGCTTGTCCTAATAATCTTGAACGTTACGTTATTCTTCTCTGTGAGTGTGCAAGACTACCTAATCCTGCTTACATCAGACTCTGCACGCACAAGCTTTGGTATTTGATGAGATGGAGGTCAGAGGCTTTATATATTTAGGCTTTTGCATGTGGGTCATCTTGGATGGTGCTATTCTTGACATCTAGCTGGAAGAAGGATCAAGGGTATTGTGAATCTAAGAATCTTTATGGAGAGTTGAGAGTTCAGAAATCCAAGTTGGCGATAGCAGCCAACCATGCTTTTGGGTCTATGATTCCTATTGAGGATGTCATTGTTTTGATGATTATTTGTTGGTAAATATTAYTTACCCATAAAACCGTATAAGATTGCTGAATTTCATTGGAGACTGCATTTTCTCATTGATTGGGTCCGTTAAAAAATCAGAATGGTAGATATTAATATCATACCATGTTAGTCATAAGTTGGATGCCCATATTGGTGCATTTACTTGGTGTAACAAACTAAAGTTCCGTACATGTTGCCAGGTGCATGGGTATCTGTTCCTTCCACTAGTGGTAGCAATTAAAACTTGTTTCATTCTTTACTCATGTATGTTAATTTCATCAATCAACAATATTATCRTATTTTGAACCTGGTTTGAGAGGCCCTAGTTAGCTTAAAGGTCTACATCAATGATTTTTCATTTGATAGAATCTCTTGTCTTTAATTTTTCAAGCTGCAAATTTGTATTGCTTTTCAAGAGATATGGTCATATCCTTCTTAGGTTGCTTTTGATTCCATGCAAAAGGGGTGGAAAATAAAGATTTTACAAGAGATAGTTCTGACATATATTGCTAGAGTTGCTATGCTGAAAACTTGAGAGATTAACATTTCTGTTGGTAAAGTTTTGTACCATGTGCTGTTACTTTCAAATGATCACGTAACTGTTGTTGAAACAGGTAGAGCTGTTCAAACATCCTCATTTGTTAGTACTACAAGTAAGGAATTCCTTCTATAAGCTTCCTGGTGGCCGCTTACGACCGGGTGAATCAGGTATGCTTCTCTTACATCCATCATTCTTCTTGGCAGCATAATTATCAGTAAAGTCATTCTGATTTTGGGGTGAAGAACTTCTCTTGACTTCTAGAGAACACTCTTGTAATTCAGAAGGTTTCTATTTGTTTAGAATGCACATTCTCAATAATTAGGAGCTTCAAATTTCCAATTTTTTAGATGTATATGTTTGCTTTCTATTCATGTAAATTAAAATTATTTTAAAAAATTCCTCAGCTAAAATGAACATGTTTTGTAGACACCGACGGACTGAAGCGCAAGCTTTCAAGAAAGCTCTCTGTTAATGAAGATGGCACCAGTACTGAGTGGGCGGTTAAGTGACATCTTCTGTTACATTTGTGTTGTGATGCTGCCAATAAAAAAATTGTGTTGTGATGCTTTCATCACAGAAATATGCATTGTATTTATACCAAAGTAATATAAGGTGCATTTATTCTTGACCTTCAGGTTGGAGAATGCCTTGGAATGTGGTGGAGGCCTGACTATGAAACTTTGATTTATCCATATTTGTCACCAAATGTAAAAAAGCCTAAGGTTGTTGCTTCTCACAAGCTATGAACTTGAAGATTTGGTGACATACTTTGCCTAATTGATTTCTCTATTATTATRTAGGAATGTATAAAACTCTTTCTTGTAAGGTTGCCGGAGAGTAGAAAGTTCATTGTACCGAGAAACATGAAATTGCTTGCTGTTCCACTGTCTCAGATTCATGAAAACCATAAGGTATAAGAAATTACTAGAAGTTACATAGTACTTWGCAATGGTCCTATTGATTTATATGCATTATTAGGTCTTTGATGTGTTTATGCTATTGCATTTTGTAGACATATGGTCCAATAATTTCTGGAGTTCCACAGTTGCTGTCTAAATTCTCCTTCAACATCATTGAAGCCTGAGTTGTACCTTTCAATTGGGACCATCTGGTTATAGGGTTGAAGTATGGAAGAACAAATTTTGGAAAATGAGATATATCTGAAAGGGATGGGTCATATGGATGACTTTAGATACTGTGTTAACTCTGCAGAGTGGTTATGGATATCATAGCCTTGTAGAGGTAGTTGCTCTGTCATAGCTTCAACAAATTTTGAGATGTTTTTCAATACAAGTCTTCCTGTTCAGTGTGTTCACATTATTTGTGCAAATATTACTCTCACTCTGTCAATGTTTAGTCTGTTTGATTACAAAAGAATCAAGTTTTGATCAGTCAGTTGCTATACGAGGAAGCAAATTCAGAACCTAAAATTGTCATTAAGTAATGAAAAGACAAGTCCAGAACTTGAAAGTGGCCATGAATGTGTAATCCAGTATAAGGTCATATCATTTTGAACAATACATCTAAGCATAGCTGGTAGACTATGAACCAAGGAGATCAAAGAAACAACTGAAATGTTTAATAAGAAGGTATGAAGTAGGCAAAATATATTCCTGTTTTCAAGCTCTGTGATGGATGTAATACCATTAAATGGGAGGAAAATACTGTGGCTTTTAGATGAACCTTCTAAAGGTAGCTGTTAAATTATATCATATCTTCTGTCACTCAGTCTAGAAAAACTAAGATATTTGATACCAAATCAGTTTTGTGATGTAGTGCTTATTGTATGAGTTGGATATGTTTAAATAAATAAGAACAACAGCAAAAGATATTAGTAAGGTTTACGATCATGAAAACTTCTAGAGCTGCTCCTATCAACAAGGGGGAGGGAGGGAAGGAAGGGAGTAAGGCTAAAAATTCAAAGGTCTAACTGGGATGAAAAAGGAGTAGTGAACTAAAGGAGAGGCAACCCCCCTCCCCCCTCCCAGGGATTGATCTGTGTATGTACTTTGACCATTGTTTTTTGGTTATTTGCAAGTATCAAATGGTTGGTAGAGTTTTCACAACTTGAAAAATGTACCCATAACTGGCTGTCTAGCAATGACTCAAGATGTTGCCTAGAGTCCATTGTCATGATTACTCATATAGAAAATATCTGCAAGTGTGCCTGTGTGGTATGCATTTATGTTAAATGTATGATTCAAAGATGTCCGGAAACCATCCGACATCTTTCCCCCACCCCCACCCCATCTTTTACAATTTATTATGCTTTCTTGGCGTGCAAGCACATGAATTTTATATTRTGCTAAATTAAAAATGACAATCCTTTTTCTGAGATCTGGGCATGAAGCACCATGCCCTGTTCATGTGTTAGGCACATGCCTTGCAGCAAAAACTTACGAATCTCTGATTTTTGTTCATCACTTATATCATTCATGCAAACCAGCTTAACCTAGTGCATTGTTCTTTGCAACTTAGATGGCCTAAATTTTGCTAGGAGCCTGTGATTTGTGAAATAAGCTTATCTTGTTTCAGGTATCCAGGAGTCCGTGTCAGATGCCATCACATCTTGGTGCTCTTGTTACATATTGTTCATATCCTTTTTAGATTCTTACCCTTACATGTTTTCATACCTGATGTGCATGTGTGGTTTGTACATGTGGTATTTTGATTATCTTCTACCCCCCCCCCCCCCTTTTTTTTTCCTTCAGGAACTACAAACAGGGGAGTTTCTGGGGACCATGGATTATTCCCCCCGCATTCTCTTTCTAGTGGTGCATAGAAAGCAGCTAGTTGGGATAAACTTGGCATGTAAAGTTGGGACATAAGCAAGACTAGATACAATATTTGATTTAAAGTAAATTTGGTAATCATCTTTCATTCTCTAGCAGTATT